GACCCGCCCCTCCACCCTTCTCCACTTAAATACCGGGCTTCGCTTTGCATGGTGTGGGGCTTGAACCTGCGACCTAAGCCACAAATCCTCCACCTTTTGCCACTTGAGCTAGGCCTTGGGGGCGTTTGCTTCTTAATTTGATCAGCTAAAAGAGAGATAGATGTGAGATAATTGGAGAGACATGCAGAATATCAAATACTGCCCTATATATTGATTTCTTTCCATTAACCTCAGTGTGTCTTCTTCAAGTAGTTGCCCAAATTCATTCTATCAAGCTTGCAAATCCAAACACCTATGGATCATTTGTAACAGAAACCTCTTTCGCTCTGTGATAGTATTGTAAAGTTTCTAAATTGATACTTATTGCAAGTATAAATATAAATTCACAATAGACGGGTTCTCCAGTGGACCAACCAATATATGCACAAAGCACTAAATAAAGGGAAGAAATACTATACCATCAAATGGTGTTCGATCATACACAGGAATATGCAAGCACCAAACCTGAAAAACTCTGCAAACAAGCAATTCTTCAGTCAAGAATTTGAACTGAAGTGTTCACGGAAAGGCCACTGAACTGTTTAACCACAGAGTAGCGAGCCCTATTATATGAAATTAATAATCATAGCCTAGAAAAGGTTAACAAACTTTTCTACCACAAGTATTTATAGTCAGGGTAAGCACAACAAGCAACAACAGCAATAACTACTATGCCTCGATCCCGAACAATTGTGGCTATATAATCCTCACTTCTCCATTTAACCTCAACTCATGTAGTCATCATACAAAATAAAACTAAAAGTGAATAACACGTTAAATATAATTACATATATATAATAATAATAATAATATCCTAGTAGTAGATATCACTTATATGAATCTTTTACTTCCATTGTGCCCAATCTTTGATAGAAACGACAGGCAGAAGATATAATTACATTCCATGCTTGGATAAGAACACACACTGAAGTTCTAAACATAATAAACTATCAAAGTGTTCCCATTTCGTACTTTCTTTACATGATACAGTAGTATGGTAAAGGCGATTTGATTTAGTACAATAAATAGTCATCAACTGTACGATTTGACTTGCTACAGTACATAGTCATCAACTGTTATAACGAGAAATTTATAAAGCAAATAAATAAAAGTCTACAATGCCATTACGAAAGCCACTACATCTTTACGAAGCACAGGCATCAGCAATAGTTTTTCAACTAAATAATCATAGCACTTGGATATCAAGCTCCAAGATTATTTAATCATATGGAGCTCACTACCTCAAAGCCACACTCAACTGGTAGCTTTAAATATGTGAAGATTGCAGTGTAAGATACAGACCACTAAATTTAAATCAATAATCTTTCATATCTGCTTTAACACAAGAAAGAGAAATGTCTTTTGCAACATTTAAGGTGCAAAAAGGTAAGTGGAGAACAAATAAGCTAGGCCTAACGCAATTGGGATTGATGTTGTACTATACTTGATCTTAGCCAAAATGAGGAGAAAGGTATTGGCATTGGTTTCATATTTATTACTTGAACACAATTTTACGAGGCCAGCTTAAGTTACAGTATCTCATACTAGTGGAATCATGAAGCTAGCTGATTGCGACCTAAGCATCTATAGGAATTATACCAGAACGAGAAAAGTATTATTACACATTATAGAAGAGTGCATGGAACTTACTTCCCAAGAGCCTTCTCATGCAAAACAAGACCCATGCCAGTGCCATCCATTCCTATACATTGGAATTGCATTCTAGTTAGTCATCCAAAAATATTAAGAAAAACCCTCCACACATTTAACAATAAAAATTGTATCCTAGGAACAGCATGCATGACCTTGCTGAAACGTACGGCTACATCGGATTGATTCAAAGGCATTCCTTAAATTTTAGGACTACCATACTGATATCAACTCCCCTATCTGTACCACTAAACTAATATAAAAACTCTGTTACAGTGTTATTTTTCTTTCGATTTTGAAGATTACCTGGCAGAAAAAGAAGGAGAGGAGAGTTTTCCAAAGGAGGGCCAGCTGATATGGGAGTAAACCACCGCGGAGGACCTCCATCAGGCTTAACAATCTCCGATCCTATCTCAAGATAATCCTTAACAGTTTGAGTTCCATATCCATCATCCCAAAGAGTTTCCAACTTGTTTTGAATATCCTCCTTGTTCTTCTCCTTAATAGCTGGAGCCAGATGACCATTTTTCACATCAATTATTGGGCTACTTTTCTCCTTTTCTTCAATGGAGGACACACCATTAACTATAACAGATTCTGAAGACAAAAATGTAGAGTCCTGGCTAGCTACGCACGCGAACCGAGCTATACACTGAGGCTTATAGTCTGGACTAAGACCAAAACGAGGGGTTGCCCAGAAATTATGCAGAAGAGAAGCCATTTGCAACAAATGGCCACAAATGCAAAGTTTCAAACTTTTGTAGAAATACTGTAATGTTTATGAAAACAGCACAAGAAAGCTAGCAGCTATATAAATATCTCATATTTTTAACACACTTTTTCCACCACTCCCATCAAAGGGAAAGACAAAAACAATAGTTATTGGTGGTGAAAGTGAAAGAAACCAGAAATGAATTCCTAATTTGCCATAAAGAAAGAATCTTGAAATTGCAAAACTCCTTTAATCACATCAAAGAAGCTTAAAGCCACAAACTTTAATCAGATGCGTGGCTAAAATGAGTTCACATACATGTGGAGTTACTTGAACTATTTATTGAAACCTAACATCCAAATACAAAATTCTTGAAAATTTATCAAGATAAGGAAGCAAATGCGCAGTTCAAAAACAATAATAATAAAAAAAGATTAAAATGAAGGAGGGATTGGACACTTACCAAATCAGAAGAACCCATGTGTGGCTTTTTATGGGAGATCTCCTCCATTATTTTAGTACTATTAATTAGAAAACTAAATGCAGTATAAACTACTACAACCTTTTCAGTGAAACCGATATCTACTGTTTAAATTGTTTGATTATGACAGTTTGGTGGCAGATTTTCTACAATATTAGAAGTTCCCTTCTTTTTCTCTTTTCCTCAAGTCTCAACCTCTTTCCTTCTGTTCCTTTTTCCCTTTGGTTTTCCACTCGTATCTCGGTAAAAACACTCTCTAACAGAGGTGACAATATATCAAAAGATATTTGAATCCAAAATGTCCATCAAGAATAAAAGAGTATTACCCATCATAATTCTTGTTGGTATATTTAACTAATTATTGTAACCCCAAAAGTTAAAAAGTTTTTACCATAGTTTAGTAGGATTCGTTAGATTGTCTATACTGTTTTGTTATGATTATTTTATTTTTCTTATTTCTTTCTCTATATATTTTTTTTTTTTTAATTAAGGGATAAAATCTACGTACACTTTATCTTCGTCGTATCTTATTTTGTAAGATTCCAGTGAATATGTTCTTGTTGTACAGAAGTTAAAAATATATTTTACATATTTTTTGTTCAACATCACAAGATTCAAATGCCTTTTTTTACTTTCTTAAACTTTATATCCACTCAAAATCAAAACAAACAAATTGAAATCGAGATAATCAATTATCAATCTTTTCATGAGAACTGCTTTAGTAAAACGTACCCACGCTCAATATTTTGTATTAATTTATCGAATAGATAACATGCATGCACTTTCTTGCACTTGTAGTGACCAGTTAATCATAGTAAATTAGTGTGATTTAATGTAAATACTTACATATGAATATGTAATGGTATTACGGATTACCAAGTCTTTATTTTTACATTCAAAAATCAGAAAATGACCACGTAACCTAACTTTATAGAGATTTTTATCATTTTATATCTAAAGTGTTGTGATACACAAGAAAATGGAACTATTAAAAAGGCAGAACTTAAATCACCCCTCATGTTGTGACAAGAATAGAAGTTAGATAAAACCAGCTAAACAAGCTCTACGTAGAGTCTTGTGATATGTTTATGCTGTTGTTATAATATTAATTACTTAATTTAAATCAAGAGAAAATGATGACACTTGGAGCTTTACATATATGTAGTAGGCCAAAGAAGACCAAATTGATGGTATTATAGTTGATAAACGCATCAAAACAACTTTATAATAAGCTTGATAAAATCTTAACGTGACCCTTAAAGCTTATGTTACACATTTTAACTAATTTTAAAAATGACAGAGAAATCAATTTTTTTTCAGCAAAAAAATCATACGTTGTATTCATTAATTCAACTAAACTTAGAAATAAGTATTTGAAATTAGAAAAACGATCAAATTTTAGATTCTCCTTTTATTTAAGTAATTTGAACTTTTAGTGAGAAGCTACTAGGATGACGTTCCTTTACCTATCCCTATGAAATATTTATTACACAATTTGTGTGGAGTAGTTGTCATTATTGATCAATAATGAATTTAAAAAAGATCGTTACGCTGGTGTTGTAGGGCATTGCATGATGCATCACATAGTCAGTGACAGTGATATTTACATAAAATATAAATATAAAAATAAAGTTGGTTTAATCCCCACCTAAAACTTTGATTGAAGACTCATAATTGCATTAAGTAGGGAGGTAAATCAAAACATTTTTTTGGATGAATGAATTAATTCAACATCACTTTATCAGATATTTGCAATTTGTAACCAAATTTTCCCTGGCTCTACACTTACCTCTAAGCCAAATGAATAGCACATTTGAATAGATAACGAATATATTTTCGGTCTTTTTACACTAGTACCTCTCCATACAAGTAACTCTCCATCCTTAACAAGGTTCATGTTCAAGGGATACGCAACTTACAACTTTTCGGTTCAAACTCACAACCTTCGAATTCGAATTGGAAGGAAGTTTTGGTGACTTGAACTTACCACTAGTTCAAACTCACAAAGTTCGAATTGAAAGTGGGGTGTGCTAACAACTAATGATTTTGGGCATAAAACTATTAATAGACAATAAGCAAAGATAAAATGATAAAAGATAAAATAAGGTAACAACTCAATTACGATAGCACTAATTGTAATTGTATAACAGTATGTAGAATGTAGAGTTAACCACAATTACATTACACAAATTAAAAATCCCAAGAAAATCCTAAATTCCCAAAACACAAAAGCAATCACTCAAAATTTCAATTACCTTTTCTCCCAAAAATTAAATTGAACTTAGAGATCATCTTCCATCCTCAAATACTCTCCAATATCAGCTTGATGAAGCACTACAATTCCATTCGGATCCATTTTCCGGCAATCCTGAGTACTCTTCGCTGCAACTCCAAATCCCAACGGCACATCCGACATCGAAAACACAACCACCCCATCATGCTCACTAATGCTCTCAGTAATCCTTCCAACTCCACCTTTCAATACATTATTTCCATACAGAAAACTCATCTCAGATGTGGGTTTCAGCCACACTTTGTGTTTCGCGTGTGCTGCTAAGATACCCAAGCATTGAACTGTGAGGTGAAACTTACCTCCTTTGGTGAATTTCCCTAACTGGGTTCCCAGCGAAACTAAGTTATCTCGCTTTACGTTTGTTGCTCGCTTGACCAAAGATTCTGATACGTAGTAAACTCTGTTTCTCTGGAGACGAAAGCAGTAACGGCCTGGAGTGTTGTCGGTGCCTTCGTGAGATGGGTTTTCCACTATGTTCTTCAGATTGTTTCCGACGAATTTGTGTAGCTTTTCGAACACCTGTGTGGTTTCTTGCTCATCTAGCGGGCGCATTTTTGCTTCAGTTTGATAAACCCTAAAACCCTGCAGCTTTTCTTGGTCTTCTTATACTGCATGGGCTGAGGGTTTTGGGATCGTTTGGGCCTTAAATGAGTCAAGGCCCATGTAACTGACCTGAAGAGTAGGCCTAGCCTTTATAGCATTTAGTGATTTGTTTTATGTTTTTTAGAAAAAAAATGAAATACGCATTTCCTGTCTTAGATAATAATTACGTAATACATTAATCCGTTCTTAAGCAACACAACTTAAATTTGTTTGGTGAAGAAATTTCGTGTCCTCATATATACATTACTCTAAAGTAACAAAGCCTCTTCATAATTTTATCCTTCATTTGTTAGAAAATCGACACCTCCTTCCAATTATATCTACTCGTGACCTTATTGTCTTGCGACATATATCTATCTACAATCTTTAAAAATAGGTCTGAAGCAAAAATATCTACTTCGTAATATTACCATTTTACTTGTGACGTCTAAGAGTTGCATTTTGATAGAAAGTTACTCAGTACTTGCAAGACTTAATATTGCTTTCTTACACAATAGTAGTGAAGGTTTTTAGTAAAATCATCAACCTATGTTTTAATCGAGCCGAGAGTCTAGTGGAAACTATCTCTCTACACCACAGGGTTGCATACATCTCACTCCCCAAACCCCACTGGTGGGACTATACTAGGTTTGTTGTTGCACTGCTGTTTTCGTCATTATCTTCAGAATATTTCATTCAAAACTTGAATGATTAAAAGAAATAGTTCCAAATACATGAGCACAAAACTTCACCATTTGGAGCAACATCATCGTACAGTCGGTAAGAACTATATAAGAACAATCTGCTTGGCGTTATAAATGGCCTATCACCAAATCTTCCCTCACTACAATTGAGGAATACTAATAACAAAGAAGATTTACAGATTAAATTATACCAGAAAGAAGGTAAACATATAAATTAGTTTGACCAGAAAAGGTAATTTTTTGTTCTGGAGATATTATTCACCTGCCCAACAGTGTGGTTCTTGAAAGACTATATTCGAGACATCCAAACCCCTGCCTTTGCATATAGAGTTATATATAAATCTACAGGCTCCCAACATCATCACGAGCTCTTTCTCTTGAAACATTCAGTCTCATGTCCCCTCAAAACCAAAAATCCTTTCTTTAGCAAATGCAAACTTTCTTTCTATTTTCTTCTAAATGCACCAAAAACCAAAACTTGATAATCACCACCTTTCGACGTGCAAACAGCAAAATGGTCCAAATGTGTAAATTTTCCTAATTAATCCAACCACTTGGATCCCAGATCTACAAGGAAGCAATTACTCATGACACAGCAGCAAGCAGCCATTTGAATGCTAAGCCTTCCAATTATTTTTGAGGAGCAGCTCAATCACCTCAAGCTACTCTGGACCTACAAGAAAGAAGGGGCAAGGGGAGTGGACAGAAGAATTGCTCAACCATGCCTTCCTCTATATGCAAAACAAAAATGACCATGTGGTTATTTTTGTCTACAGAAAACATTTACTCATACATCATCTTAGATAAAAAAATAACAAGGCACATATCAAAACTACATTACATACAACAATTTGCTTGGTTAATTGACTACAGAAGAATCCAACTTTTCCTAATTTTACAACCAACCCCAATATGCGAAAACAAGGAACAAACAAAATCTAAAGTGTTCTCCAGTTTTTTAGGTTTCGGCAAGAACACTACATGTGCACAGAGGGAGGGGGGGGGGGGGGGGGGGGGGGAAAAGGGGAAAGATTTTTG